TCTGGAGGTTTATAGAGTAGAAAAAGATTTAGCAGTTTTTGCATTCTATATTCCAAACTCTTATAATGAATGCGACAAAAAATACTCCCGGGAAAACCTCGTAATAGTAACGTTGAAGAGACTTTTTGACCAGCTTTTCGTGCCGTATACCAGTTCAGCGGCGGAACATTGGATATCTGCCTTCAAGCTCGTTCGAATACCTAAGAGGGCGAGTGGTAAGGTTTCGTACCAATTGTCGTTTTCGTGTGCTCGAAGAGCACTTTTAAGTTGGCGGTGAAACCTTTCAACTAAACCATTAGACGCTGGATGGTAGGTGGTATTGCGTATGCGTTCCGTACCAAGCAGACTAGTAATTGAGGAGAATAATGCGGACTCAAATTGTTGTCCTCGATCAGTTGTGACCGTCGAGGTCAAACACATAGAGCTATCCATCATTCTACACAGCAGTGAGCAACTGTCTCCGCCGTGATGGGTATAGCTTCAAGCCATCTGGTGAAACGGTCGATGCACGTGAGTATGTGATCATATCCATGCGATGGTGGCAGTGGTCCTACAATGTCCAAGTGAACGTGATCGAAGCGAGCATCAGGCGTAGCGAATGTACCAAGGGGCGCAGCTACGTGCCTGTGCACTTTTGATCGTTGAAATTGTAAGCATTGCTTCGCCCACATACGAACATCTTTATTCATGGACGGCCAGACGTATCGTGCAGCGATGAAACGTAATGTAGCCGCGATACCTGGATGAGATGATCCATGTAGGGCATCGAATACGAGACGGCGATAAGCAGAGGGTACTACGGGTCGAGGAAGACCGGTAGGAGTATCGCATAGGATGGTGCCAGAAGTCGTGTATAGGGGTGTTTCCTGATACTGGAGGGACGTAGAGTGTGGTGCTTTTGTACAGCTGGGATCGTTTGCTTGGGCGGCGGCCATAGCAGGAAGATCAAGCACCGGCAGAGTAACTGCATTCGTTTAGATTCGTGATAGAGCATCGGCAACGCAGTTCGACTTTCTTTTGATGTGACGAAGGTCTGTCGTGAACTGGGAGATATAGTCCAAATGTCTGCACTCTCGGGTGAGTAGCTGTCAGACTTGGTATGCAAGGCATACGTTCAGGGTTTATGGTCGGTGAATAAAATTAACTTGCGACCTTCTGTGTGCCGGAAATGCGTGATGGCGCAGTAGGCTGCTAGCAGCTCGCGACCAAAAGCGCTATATCTCGTCTCCGTGGGAGTAAGGCGTCGTGAGGAAAACTCGAGGGGTCGCCAACTACCGGAGATGTTTCGTTGCATGACTGCTCCTATAGCAACATCGGATGCATCAACCGCTATACTAAGCGTGGCTGATGGATCGGGATGGGCGAGAAGAGTGGCTTGCGGAAAAGCCGTTTTGATCTTTGTGAATGCAGTACGTACAGAATCGTTCATTTCTAATCTGCGTGGGTTGCCGTGAAGTAAGTCGGTTAGTGGTCGTAACCGTTCTGCTGCGTGTAAGATGAAACGATGATAGAAGTTAACCAAACCGAGAAAAGCCTTCAGTTCCTTGAGTTAGGACGGCATGTTGTACTCCTTTATTGCTTGCACTTTGTCCTCGCAAGGTAGAATACCCTCTTGCTTGATAACGTGACCCAGAAATATTAGTTCTCGTTTACCCAACTCGCACTTGTCTGGGTTAACTACTGTTCCATTATCCGAAAGGCGTTGGAATAATAGCGTAAGATGATGATAATGTTCATCTACGTTTCGTGATGCTATTGGCAGGTCATCAATATAGACGTGAAGAAAATCTAGGTCTCGTACAATGCTATCGACAAAACTTTGAAAAGTTTGAGCAGCATTCCGTAATCCAAAAGGTATTCGTAGGAACTCAAACAAACCAAAAGGAGTCGTCATATCAGTTTTTTCGATATCTTCAAGAGCTACTGGGATCCGATGATATGCTCGTAACAGATCGATATTAGAAAAGATAGTCGTGCCCTTGAGCGATGCCGTGATGTCGTGTATGTGGGGGATGGGGTAGCTATCAAAGCGCGTAACTACGTTTAGAGCTCAGCAGTCACCTCATGGTCTCCAACTAACGCCGTCTTTTTTGCTCACCATGTGAAGAGGAGAGGCCCATGGACTGTGAGAACGACGAATAATACCAGTACCTTGTACATTGTCAAACTCACGTTTAGCCAAAGCTAATTTGTCCGGTGCCAATCGGTGAGATCGTGCCGTGACTGGCGGTCCGCGGGTGACTATGTGGTGCACCACACGATTGGTTACCGATGGAAGCTCCTCGAGCGGTTTAGTGAGTACAGGGAATTTCTCGAATAAAACGCGGAATTTATCGTCACGCGAGTAAAAAGTGTTGAGGGTTCGGTACACGTTCATGTGGGCTTTGAAGCAGATGAATTTACTGTTCGACGAAGTATCGATTAGCTGCAGCCTACGTGAATCGACAAGCAATTCATAGTGCTGTATGAACATATCTGTAGGAACATCAGCTATGATGAACGCCCACAGATACCGTCGTCGGTTGCACAGGTTGACCGCGAGTTGTCGTGTACCGTAGGTAGAAATGACTGAGGCATTCGCAGCGCGTAGTCGAAGAACTGTGGCTTGTGACCTGCTGCAACCTCGTGATACGACAGAAACTTGGGCCTCTGTGTCGTGCACATAGAATAAGCAATCAACCTGGGGTGAGTAAGGCCGCTTTAACTCGCCGGCGTTGGCGTTTTCCGCCTCGTATAAGCATGGTGCTCGACAACGGCGGGCGCAAGACCCGAAGGACCTATGGAACAAGCACCAACTTTCACTCGCTTCCGAAGCCGCTTTCAGCGTGGCTTGGAAGATGCCTTTTAGGGCGAGTGGTGACGGGTTTGCGAAAACTTGAACGAGCTCGGGGGACGTAGGGTTGGGGTACGTTACAACGGTCTCGAAAACTAAGACGTGTGTGAATACACCCGGCCCTGTCACCATGAGCTGAGGAATGACCGGCGTCCACGTCTACTTTAGGACGTGCCGTCGAAGCAACTACATAGGTGTCTCTATTACTAGTCCTCGCCAAAATTTTGTCTGCTATGAGGGCTACCTGGTTAAGCGGTGAGTCCTCGAGCAGTGCCGTCACAGTAGGTTGGATGTGGGCTGGTAATGACTCGAGCCACAATTTCTTTACTATCTCCGAGTCAGATGCTGTTGATCCTGCAAGAAATTGCAGGCGCGTGAGGTGGTGGCTTGGTTTAGCATTACCCAGGGGGTGACGTGCTAACAATGACCTCAATCATTCCTCCCTCGATGGGAGGAAGTGTCGGAGAATTGCCTCTTTGAGGCGATCGTAAACATTAGGCAAGCTGGAATTGAGGACAACCTCACGTACAGCTACTAAATGGTCCCCGGGTAGTGATTGGAGAGCGAAGTCGTACTTTTGCCTTTGGCTCGTAATGCGACGAGTCTCAAACTGAGACTCTAATGCAACAAACCAAACCTCTGGGTCGTAGGGAATGAATGATACAGGTCGAAAGTGAATGGCCTGTACGTCTGAGTCTATGATATTAACACTATTCTTGTGGCTATCCGTCATGTCGAGTATATTATATATCAAAAGATAATATGAAAATACACGACAGACGTGGATAGATAAACTATAGACTCGCCGAACTGACTTCTTTGGAAGCTTAGACCAGAGGTTGGAGCGTGTTCCAAAATTTGGCACACCAGTTGTAGCGTGGCGTCGAGTCCCAATTAACTATAAACACCGCTACCAAGAAACACGTGCCAAAAAAATCAGAAGGCGTAGGTTGAACGTAACCAGATTTATTTCGTTGGCGATCTCGTGGTATCGAACGAATAGCAAGATCGTGCCAAGAAATGGTACAAGCGGAAACAGGAAAGTGGAGTACGTGCGAACGAAGCTAAGAACCGCGGAACATTGATGGAAGGTGATGGAAGCACAAAATGGCTGTAATTAGCACAGTTAAACAAAAGCACGTTAAAACAAATACTGGTATAGTTGGTTATAATAATGATTGTCTTCATTAGACCAGTCGTGTTCTCGTGATAAAAGTGAGTCACAACAGACTGATGACCGTGGTCAAACTAATGAAGAAGATTACTAGGGTTGTCATTTTTCGTCGACTTGAAGGGGTAATAAATCTTCACAGTGATGGGAATCGGAAAGTTTAACACAGGTCACTTGATATTCGATTCTTATCTTTAATGACTGAGGGTTGAAACACCATAAAGCGCCAGATCCGACCTGTGCGTTACGTCTAGTATTCGTAAGGGTAAAACATTATTCCGTTTCATATTCATACGTCAGATATAATAATGCATAATTCTTATTAAAATTACAGCAGTGCAATTTCTGTTTTTCAAACCATAATGGGATACTTGACATTGTTTTGATTGCTGGATTTGTAGTGAGATATTGAACCCTCATAACACTAAAATCTCATGCAAAAAGAATAGGTAAATAAAGTCAAACTTATACGCGGTCCAACTGGGTGGCTTCAAGCGGTGTCAGATATGGCTCAAAATAATAACCAGTGGCAGTTCTGGTGTAGTTCTTTAATAATTTTAAAATAAACTCACCTGACTGAACGAAATTTTTTTCGGCCGTATTTTTAAATGAACTATATCCTTCGTCAAATACTATTTTCGTTTATCCAGTTATTGACTGAATGACTCACTTCGTTATTTCGTAATATTATCAGTTCATTTTTGTTGGACATCATTTTCGGTGCCCAAATTTATCAGAAAACACATATGCTATAAATAAGCAAGAAAAGTGGTGGAAGCTCACGTGTAAAGTATGGTTTACGGCTTTATACCTCTTCATGTTTACAGATATTAAGTTCTTTATGTGGTTGTTTTAATCTTATAAATTGGTTTTATTCGTAAACCTAATTTTATAGTTTAAATACTTTCCACTCCACTTCTAGCATTCTCAGATTGATTAAAATACATGTATCGGTAAGTGATTTTCTGGTGTGCGAAGATTGGTGAGTAAACAGCTATGTTTGAGGTTGCTCCTCCCACGAAAAAGTGGAACTACTGTCTATACAACAATCGTGGTCTACCTGATAATTATGTAGATTCAGATTTCTTGTCTGGATTAAAAGAAAACCGTTAGTTGCAATTAATTTATCTGGCTATCAAGAAATAGTGTTTCTACCCAAACTTCGAGCACGTGATGTTATAATCGCTGCTGGCAGCATTTATCAACAACTCTGTTGGTATGTTTTATTCATCTCTACTTTAGTACAGTTTGTCTTTGTTTGTAATTATCTACTTTTATCTACTGTTTGGCTGGATTTCTCCACAGTATCTCAATCTTTACCTCTTCTTGTTTATAACTATTGGATATGCCTTGTTTTGGTCAATGAAAGAGGAAAATGAAAGACAATTTCATAAAGGTAACTATAAGCTTCACGTAAGTTCGATTTTATATATTAAGGTTTTATGAATAAATACTTCTAAACTGTAAGACAAATTAGAATTTAACTAATTACCCACATGTTACTCTGGAATATTGTAGCTTTTTAATAAGGCTTAAACAGTTCATGGTGATGAGAAACACTACATTCTTGGTGCTTCAATATCTATAATATTATGGGGGTTAAGTTTAATTGGGACTAACAATCCGACATTTCTCCCCCTTGTGACCTTAGTTTGTACATAAACTTCCTGTTGATAAGGGAATATTAATGTAATAGATAATAATAGCAGATGATCTACATATGATTACAAGTCAGAAATCTGTTCAGCTTTTAGCGTTTAATTTACTGAGTGACAAGTAGCCTACCTGTGGAAAGCAATCTGCAAGTCTGAGTACACTCTTTTATCTAGAAGGTCTTCAGTGATCTGACCAATAAGTAATCGATTGTCAGTTGACGGAAAAGAATCTTGACTGATAGTTAATGAGCAATATATGACATGGGTGAGTGATGGCTGCTCACAAGATTGAGTTATTGACATAAGTGCCTGATTAATTTGAGATCAAAGATAAGACCACTATGCAAATGAGTAGGCCATTTGCATAGTAAGTCGATATCCATACATATGAGATATTAATATTAAATAAATAAAATTTCACAGGTAATTGAACGGAACCACTTTGTACACCACTCGATTAAGGTAGTTATTAGGTCAGATCTTCGGCATTATCTCAGCTTTTAAATTGAAAATAGACATATTGGACTATAATGCTAAAAATGATACATGATCTTTTGAAATTCTACTTGGTTATGCAAAAGAGTCGACTACACGTAAAATTGACTCAGTGAAGTTTACCGATTTCCTCTGCTTTTGCGTCAACCATTGTCTAATCTAAGTAGACAGCTGATGTGAATCATAGGATATTTCAAGATATATCCTTACTGCTAACCTAACAGTATCATCACTACACTTGATACTTTCGTATATGAGTACTGAAGTTTCCTTCTGTTGTTATATATCACTTATGATTTTTATTTTCAGTCATACCTGAAATCAAGTCGGGCATTGTATTTTTTACATTTTGCTTTCTGCTTGCTCCTGTTCTGCACTCTCTCCTATCGAGCGTAAGCACGGACTCTATATACGCCATGTGTACTTTTTTTCTTCTTGTGTATTGGACATGTTTTGATTATAAGACTCATTGGAAAGGTCATCCTCGAAAGCCTGGGTCGAATACTATTTCTCTGAGTTCTGCTTTGTTAGCTGCTCTCTGCTTGGCTAGTCGTTTACCTGACCCTTATCATACTTTTGCATTGCTTTCCACTGCTGTCACTTTACTAGCATTATGGCCAGCATTAACAAGAAGGTTTCGCGTAAGTACAGTTACCCTTGTTTCAAATGATTGCTACTGTTTATATTGTATATTTTCAATGTTTTTCATTTCAATGCAAATGTTGATAGGTTAAGCAGATGAAACTGTGTGTGGAGCATTGGACAGCATAGACTAATCCAAATTACTTCTATTATTGATTTCACAGGTAAATAAACTTTAGGGTAACCGATCATTCTGTTCTGGCATATGTCCGGTTCACCTCAATATTGCCGTTGAGTCATAAGCATTATAAGCAGATTTACAAGGTATCTAGATGGATAATGCGGTGGCGTTTGAAGTGAATTGTGCTGGGTTCAAGTCCCGAGGTGAACATCAACTCTGATTCAGGTACATCCAACTGACGAGCTCCAAGTGTAGAGAAACACGCTCTAGATTGCACTGCTGACTACCATCTAACTCTGCTGATAATTTTAACCTATATTTTTTAAATTTTTGGATCAACAATTCCTATAGTCTGAAATATCTAGTGTGTTTACACTTGTGTAAACGAATAAAACTAATAACCGATTTGGTGGGCTAATATCTCTTAGCCTTATTTGACCATCCTTACAGTCATCACTTCCTAATCTTGTTACTCCCTTTTTTAGACTTTCAGAATGTCATATTAACACATGATTCGTTCACTGCAGTCGGTACCAAACGACTGAACGATTTATCCGGAATTTTATTATTAAATTAAATAATTTTATCCAGTAGACCCACCACACGATTGGTCCTCCAAAGAAACTTTGTAATCAAATAGGCAGTATACGCTTAATTCTTTTTACCCTTAAACGCTGCGCTTCGTATTCATAGAACAGAGCACAGCCAGTCACTGGACAGTATAATTTTCCTTTCATTAGCAAGAGAATATCTAGCGGGTAGCACAACTACGGTATGTTAGTGAACACCAAAGGTTTCTGTATGCAGATTTCGCGCACAATGTCTGCTATAACTGGTTCATAAATTTGTCCACTTCATTCTCCACTCTAAAACTGGCATCAGCGCAAAGTGGTGGATGATGTAAATGTGGCATTACTCAATTGCTAGCGCCATAGTGAATATTTTCACATCTTACCCCGATATTCGGAAAGCCATATTTTTCACGATAGTCTTGTAGAATTATGTTGTCTGTAGGCCCCAATGTGTTTTACAAAAGCATCTATTCATCTGTGTGATCATGACTGAAGCGTCTTTAGTAGCAAGTTACGCATCCTCAGAATTCCATAAGGTTTCCTATTTGACATAGTGAATCCCAATTTTCAAACCAAGGATTACAGTTGTATGGGATCGGTAAGTATGGTTGTAGTGGCTTTGCCTCGTTTATCAATCACCTATGCAACTGTTATTATATAAATCCCAACGGTGTTTGAAATCAGAAGGCAATGAGAAGCGGCAACTACAATTTATTAGCGGATAGCACGGATCACAAACCTATAAGCACATTGAGCGAATTTGTGTATGCGAGCAAATACAGGCAAATTTATAGTCAAATCTAATAGAGCGCAGCTAGGTAAGGCGAAGGCTAATAATATGATTTGAGTACATATATACATGAGGAAAGAGAACGAATCATCGAGTGATATGTAAGCGATCAACATTTAAGCTAGAAAGAGATATGTGTGTAGGCTGTCATGTGGTCAAGCGTACACGTTTATACGGATAAGATAGCGATCATAATAGTAGAAAGAAATATGCGAATTGTTACTGTTCGAATACCATTGTCTGTTGAGTTAATAAAAGGGCTTAAACAAAATTAATCATAATCGAGATTGATTGTAAGAGTTGCTATATGGTTTTGTTATATAGTCTATCAAAAATAATTTCGACACATCCCAGTGTAGGGACACAGCTTTCAGTGTTTTCGAAATCCAGTAAATTAGGAGAATTTAAGAGCATTTTTCGTATAGTGAGTTTAGTTAGAGCTGCGGTTTTAGTTTAACTTAATGAAGTTTGTGTACAAATATTAATACGTATAGTACAATAGACAGTTGCATAACCGAATCAAAACAGTGAAGGTCCGAAACGTTGTCTAACGCGTTTTTATGTGAAGCAAATTGTGAACATCGTTTAAGTATTAGAAAATCTGTACAAATTTGTTCATACTGCAGTAGAATAAATTTCTTAGCGCTGACATGTAAGAAGACTATAAATTCTAGATTGAGAAAGCCACTTAATCGTCCTGTTTCAATAATTCTGCTTAACAACAGGTACGACGTGGTAGACGAAGAATTACTCATACTACAAATACTAAAATGAAAATAATCGAAGTGTTTGACTAACATTGTTAAAAGTTTGGATACTATTATGTCTAAAACTTAGATTCTTTGATATACCACGTACAACTTGAGCACTCGAACGCTAGAACCCTCCAAGTTGCAAATGAAAAGACGAGTGAGAAGAATGCTATTCCAAAGTGTCAAATATAGTACAAAACTCCCAGGTATTTATAGTTTTTAGTGAAGGCGAAATCATCATTATAGTTATCCAATCAGTGAACAGTGGTTTTTATTATTTGTCTAATAGGGAAGATACACGCAGAGATCCTGGAATGTTCTTCCAAAGGATGACTGGATGGAATGTCTTCGGCACTTCCTGAGCTTCCTCGAGTTCACCCATGGGTCATCCTCACAGTTACTCAACTCAATATTAGGCAAATCAATTTCATGTCTCAAAAGACAACGTCATTTATTATACAAAAAAAAAACAGTATACAGGGCAATCAATTACATACATTTATTCCATAATTCATGTGACACCAACCTAAATGTAGTTTCTAATTCACTGAAGCTAATTAATCCACAAAATACATAAAGATAGCACAAAAAGACGTTCTCTAAAATACTTTTATATTATTGACTTTTATTCGCATTTCAGAATAATGGAGGTGATGGAGCACAAATATGCTTAACCATATTATCTGGTTCTACAATTCTTCTGAGTGCTTGGCCGATAGTTTACAGTGAAGTATCATTCGAATATAGATGCATCTTCCTTTGCGCACTCATAACATCTACTCTGTGTATTAATTTTGTTGGACCGTGCTACTTATTAAGAATGCAAAAAATTAAAAGGTTTGTGAGTCAATCAAATGTCGAATTCCAAGTTGCATTTTTCATTGTAACTTATTTTTCTTACAAGTTCTAAATACTCATAACTTGTCAAGCCGTTGCAAAATTCAGTATTTTAATCTTCTAGAGACTTTCCATGTCAAAACATGAGTTTTTTATCATATGATCCTGCACCAGTTACAAACAATCTATCATTTGACATCGGTTGAATAGAAACTTTGTAGTCTTTGGTAGAAAATGTCACGTCATTGTAGATGTTTGAGACCTTTATTGTGTACATTATGATTCTAGTACCATTAGTTTTCACAATGATGCTTGTGTGTGTTTAGGGTCGGTTTGTTTATATAAACAAGCTACTGTTTAAAATAAGTGCTCCATTAAAAACTGCACTGACACGAGCACAATAAACGATATAGACCCTGACAAAAAATTTAATATTGTGTGATCACAATTCCTCACAAATTTTCGATCTTGTTTCTTCCTAACAGGACTATCCATGGACCGTGGGATGAAGCTGTCATAGAATAAAATTTTGTATAGCGAGAACATTGTTTATTTAGTATATACATGATTACTTTTGTACAACTCTCAAAACCCCTTACTAAGAAGAAATTTAGCTACCTCTTCTTGGAATAACCCTTCAATTTTTATACAACGTGTTACTTCATCTACTTGGCAAAGAAACAACCCAGCTTCGCATTTCGGTTGAAGAAGCGTCCGGAGATCATCAGCCAGAGCCTGTAATATTGTAAAAAATGGTTGTCATTCTTTCATAAACATGTAAACAAAAGAAAGAATCCACTTCGATTCCCTAAGCTTATCACTGAATAAATGATTTATTACGTTTATAGTAAATGGGTTGACTTATTGATTTACTTCAAAAACCGTTTTTTCTTAAAACGATTGCATGCTAAGGAATTCATACAACTTGTTTTAACTATGTAATGTGATATTAGGTATCTGTGGCAAAACCTGAGCTATATTATGTTGTCCTGAGTTAATGTAAAGATACCGTAGTTTTTTATTATCTATAATTTAAGAAGCATGCAAGTAGATGTCCTTGTGATAACAAAAACGCAAGTAAATTAGACCAATTTTCGTAAAGCGCTTGTAATGTTTAGTATGCTGGAGAATTCGTATATATTTTTTGAGGTGAATTCCTCTTAAAAACGTGCTGTAAAATATTCATTTTATTTAAAAAGAAAATGTGAAATACCTTAGTCATACTCAATGTATAACCTTACACATATGGTCATCGGTTCAAGTTGTCATATTCTGTTAGCACAGCGAGATAAGATTATTTCAAGACAAATCCAGGAATAGTGGTAGAAAAGATTGGGTATCGAGAAAAAGTCATAAGGGGGTTTCAGGAAAAAAGGGAGTGAAGGCATTTGCGCATTGCAAACGATTCTGAGTAGTCACCTAAAATCTTTATCCATTGGTTACCACAACCACACAGACCCCAACCAAGTGGTTTACACCTACTAACATGGCTGAGTCCACTGTCATTTCATTTTAATTGTGTGAGGGCTATGATACTACCCGGGTGCCCAGACCGAAGCAGATACTGCTGAGTCCATACGCCAACGACTTCATGGAATGGTGCTACCCTGCGTTTCTCCCAACCTACCCTTATACTAAACAACGTCGCCCATAGAGATAGACATTGGTTGGGCACATGTTCCAACTACCTCCGTAGATAAATATTCACCAGATCAACCAATTTCCCATCTCGGCATTATTCACTCAGTTGTCCAAAAACACACAAACGATGCTTCGAAGGTCATATACTGGCAAACTACGAGTATCCGCTTAGTGACAGTGTTCCACACCAATGACGTAGAACAGAACGAACTGATAAGCAATAAACTCATCCTCTGTTTGGTAGACGGATGTCACACCGACGCCAAAAGTCAATCGAGGCTTCTGAATCTGCACCGAGATTTCATCAGACACCAGCCCATCAGCATCGATGAGAATTTTAAGATAGGTGAGACGCACTTAATCACTTTACTTCCTATCACTAATCCAAGCGCTGGAATAGGTCAATCCTGAAGTAAAATTTTGCATTTGAAGGAAGAGAATCACACCCCAAACATCTTTGCCTTGTTGCTTAAGATGGTTCGAAGGTTCCATATTTTGTCAGCATTTTCACCAAACAGAAATATATCTGCGAATTCCAAGTGAAGTGAATCTTCTGATACAAAACCATCCACTGAAAAGTTGGACGGTGAGAGCGTTATTTCCAAAAGAATGTCTATTACAATGTTAAATAAAAGTGGACAGCCCTGAAAAAACCACTTTAAATTGACAATTCTGATAAAAGTTCACCGTAAGCTCTGACTCAACCAGTAGTGCTCGAGTAACAAACCTATTCGAGGGTAATATACTTTTTTAATACGCCTTTCAATGACAGACTGCAATGCCATAATGCCTGCAGTCTACAGAATAAAATCCTACCCTAAGGTTATAGGTTGATAGTCGTTTGTAATTTATAAGTTTACCACTTGGTCAAATAGAGAGTATAGTGCATAATAAGCATTTTACAATAACTCATGTATTTATTGAACTCTACTTTTATTACTTTGGAATGTAGGCGTAACTTACTTGCATATCTCCATCAACATGCCTAATGACTGTCAGCTGTCGAGTCCCATGTGTATGCTCTTTTTTCTTTCTCTGTTTCTCTGTGTAATAAACAGGTAGCATGTGATTTTTCGACCTTCGGACAGAATAGGGTACATCCTTTGATAGTTCAGCTAGCAGAAAAAAGCATAAGAGGAAGTGTACAATATTTACCAATAAAATATAATGGAGGAAGAAACAATATCAATCCTAAAATCTATACCATTTAGCGTTTATCGCATATACTTCCTACACGATGATTGATAAAAAAACTATGATGTGCTTTACATAAAACAAAATGATATTTTTGTCAGGAAATGGTAAATCGGGTGATAAAGTTGTTAGATGATACGGTTTAAATGAAAGCACGGTCATGTTTAGGTTGATTTTTTTCGAAGTAATCCTTATAAACGGGAATACGATTTTGCTTCATGTTTGATATTGGCTCGCCAATGAACTGTAGGATCCATATGGCTTCATTTGAAGGATCCAGATGAACCAACGGATGCTAGCATGAACTACCGATCCTCGATGCTATCACAAACGGAAGGCCTTACTGGGGATCAATGAATGACAGTATGGTCAGTCAGGATTGCGTGCATATGCATTCAAGCCTCTAAAGTAGGCATTACGTGTTGTCAACGTCCGGAAGGTTCACTAAACTACGCACAAATACAGACGTTTTAGTCACCCGTATTTGAATTTCTTATTTGTATTGCTATAACCGATCAAGGAGTCGGGCTCTTGTGACCCACTTAGCTGATGTCAGTCATCAGATTAAATTAGTTGATTGATTGATCTAAATCTCAACATCATAGAGCGGGGGATAAGTGGTTGCTACTACGAATTCTGTACGGATGACTCATCATCTAGCAGAAAATATCTGAACTTTTACGGCATACGTTTATTAAAGTTAAAATACTTGGATGAAGTAGTTTCAAATAAAAAGCTGGTAAGTCCCGATAATATTTCCCGATTTCAAGGAACTGTGAAATATCAGTAATCATCACAAAAATTAATGTCTAGACTAAATATGTATATGATCAAGTGTAATCTAACATGGTATCAGTGCAATTGTTTCCTGACAACTCTTGAGGAAGTATAGCTTTAAAACAATTAACATTATTAGGTTTTGGCAATCTCAAAATTGATTTAGACAGCTAGCTTATGTTTATGAATGAACGATCGTGGGACTGAAGAACTGTGATTGGGGATGGGTCGAATTATATAGCATGGAAAGTCCGATTCACAACTATATTCCAACGTCTGAAGATTTTAGATGAAACCTAGACGTAAACATATTTTAGGCACAATGCAAATCACGATGGCTTTTGTCACACTTGGTGGAAATCTGAATAGTCATTTTTAACAGACATCATTTTGTAGTATCTTTTCACACTTCATCAATACGACTGAATTGATAATCAATAACTTATCAATGAATAAATGGAATTTATTTTGTTTTAGGTGTTTCAACTGTTATTATGAACCTTGCAAAACATTTCTTATTAACTGCCTACTTATTTATGTAAATTTATGTCCATTACTCGACTTTAGTAGGCAGTAAAAATAATTCGAAAAACTATTGCTACGACAAAAAGAACTTGGAAATAATCATCTAGACTTTGAAATTCGTTGCAATCTGTTTTGTGAGAAGAATTAAGTTAAAGCATTAAAAATAAAGTAATGCTTGCATACGGATTGGGGGTATCCAGCCACTAGGAGTAGGAGCCACAATATTTTTAGGAAACGGGATTTTAGTGTTCTTCAAAATTTTTTCTACCCATACATATTCTGCTTGACTAATCTCATAATCCACTGGTTTTCTCTTCAGTAGATCATCATCAGTCAAAGAGTCTTCGACCCATGGATTTTCCAACGTCGGCCACCATTGAACTCTTACATGTCTATTGCAGACCTGAATTAATGACTCAAGTTTCTAAAAAAACTAACTTGGATGGTTGAAGCATATTTGAACATTCTCCTGCACAAGATAATTCCAGAAAGCATATTTCCTGCTGCACGTTACGTATTGTACTTAAGTCCTGTGAGTAAAATACCGACCTGTAAGATACATATGTAATTATAGTATCAAAATGAATCAGCGTTAGAAGTTTGCTTAGTACCAAAAATACAAGTGACACCAAAAATTACAAATAACTTTACTAGCACAATGAGACAACATATGTATTATTTAACCTAAAGAATGGAATCACCATGATTTCTAAGATGGGTATGAATAACCCAAATTTTCAATCGCAGTTACTGTGAAAGGAGAAGGAAATCAATCAACAAAATAGACTATTTTTTGATAAACGAATGAGGACGAAGGTCATCAGAAATACGCGATGTACTTGCCAAATGCAATTCGAACAATCTGACAACACCTACTACTTAATAAAGCATTGTCTATGAAAGAATAAAAGGTCAACTGGACAAATTAGAAGGTGAACGAAGACAAAGATAATAATAAAGAACATAATATGAAAACCGCACTGCATAAATCAATACTACCAAGGTAGGGTAAGAGTAAGAACATATTGTTTTGAACACATGAAGTGAGTTTTAGTTTTCGCATGGTCAAGGCTACAGTCAATCTTAGCATAAGCACTGGAACACTTTTGTATAACATTATAAAGGCTGACTTGACATGACCTCTAAAACAGGTCTCAACAAAATATTTTGCAATGAACGAAGATGTTTTTTATTCTGTAACCTCCCGACCATTGCTGCTATCTTGACGTGGTGGTCGGGTTCGCCTATCGTGATGAACCAATCGGGCCATACCGGTTGGAACAATCGTCCCTCAAGGTCCTACTATGTTAAGCAGATCGACTGAAGTGCGGTAAGACCAGAAGCAGCAAATTCAAGTTCCGAGGGAGAAGCTATACTGCTGACTGTACATAGGTGTGACGGCAGAAGAGTATTTCCTCAGGTAACCAGCATGACAGCGATGCTGCCTTCCTACAAAGGGTGGGGTTAGAAAACTCCGACCCTAGAAATGCACAGCTCGTTTTATCTCACGGATTTCCGTCTCCGGCGGTAAGGTCTCAACAAGTACGAATCTAACGCAAAAATCACCCACAAAAAGGTCGTGCGTGACCAGCTTCAAACAGTTGTCCCTTGGACACGCTCTCGGGTCACTAAGAGCAACTCCGACCCCATTTTTTTCATTTATCTCTAGAAGGACCCCTCCACAGTGTGAGCAATCGGGAAGTGGCAACCGCTCTCATACCTCTAACAGCACTCAAGATCACTGTATTCACAATCAATTCCAATTATTTCTCTTACATCGACTTTCAACACTAAACTTCCCCTTTTGGCTTCCTCTTCAAGTGTCACCAGAACCAACGGTCCTAATGCGCAAAACACTACCCCAGGTCAACTAGCACCTCACTCTAAACTATACTTTGGAGCCTCCAACGTGCGCACCCAAATTCAAGTCGAACAACAGGCCTTCTTGGCTAAGACCCTAAAATCTCGTACCACTGATGTATGCTGTGTCTCTGAAACACATACAGGATCCTAGTATGACCATCCACTTGACCTCAACAAGCCGAAACGGGAAGCCGTCGGCAAACCCTTCAATTTTCTGGCGACCCAACGGTAAGTTCTTGTAGACTGACAGGTGTAGGCAAAGCACCAAGTATGAGAACAATCACTTTTAGAATTGACCCCCGTTAACAGTCGTCTATGTGCTGTTCGGCCAAACGGCTCCGTAAGGTCGCGAGAGAATAAAGAAACACGTCGTCGCATTTCGCGTCGAAATCCAAGATCTGTTATCGTAAATATAATTGGTTCGTCCATAAATTATAGTCTCACCCAGCGTCAATTGAGAAACGCAAGGGACATCACTTTGGAGGTCTGTAAACATAAGTAGGTATAAAGCCGTAAACCATACTTTACACGTGAGCTTCCACCACTTTTCTTGCTTATTTATAGCATATGTGTTTTCTGATAAATTTGGGCACCGAAAATGATGTCCAACAAAAATGAACTGATAATATTACGAAATAACGAAGTGAGTCATTCAGTCAATAACTGGATAAACGAAAATAGTATTTGACGAAGGATATAGTTCATTTAAAAATACGGCCGAAAAAAATTTCGTTCAGTCAGGTGAGTTTATTTTAAAATTATTAAAGAACTACACCAGAACTGCCACTGGTTATTATTTTGAGCCATATCTGACACCGCTTGAAGCCACCCAGTTGGACCGCGTATAAGTTTGACTTTATTTACCTATTCTTTTTGCATGAGATTTTAGTGTTATGAGGGTTCAATATCTCACTACAAATCCAGCAATCAAAACAATGTCAAGTATCCCATTATGGTTTGAAAAACAGAAATTGCACTGCTGTAATTTTAATAAGAATTATGCATTATTATATCTGACGTATGAATATGAAACGGAATAATGTTTTACCCTTACGAATACTAGACGTAACGCACAGGTCGGATCTGGCGCTTTATGGTGTTTTAACCCTCAGTCATTAAAGATAAGAATCGAATATCAAGTGACCTGTGTTAAACTTTCCGATTCCCATCACTGTGAAGATTTATTACCCCTTCAAGTCGACGAAAAATGACAACCCTAGTAATCTTCTTCATTAGTTTGACCACGGTCATCAGTCTGTTGTGACTCACTTTTATCACGAGAACACGACTGGTCTAATGAAGACAATCATTATTATAACCAACTATACCAGTACTTGTTTTAACGTGCTTTTGTTTAACTGTGCTAATTACAGCCATTTTGTGCTTCCATCACCTTCCATCAATGTTCCGCGGTTCTTAGCTTCGTTCGCACGTACTCCACTTTCCTGTTTCCGCTTGTACCATTTCTTGGCACGATCTTGCTATTCGTTCGATACCACGAGATCGCCAACGAAATAAATCTGGTTACGTTCAACCTACGCCTTCTGATTTTTTTGGCACGTGTTTCTTGGTAGCGGTGTTTATAGTTAATTGGGACTTGACGCCACGCTACAAGTCCATTCTCGTTCAAATTCAAGTAGCGTGAAACGATCTTTACACAAGTCAAATAGGACTACAGCACCAGTTGCGCTGACTGATCAATAGTTAGTGATCAAATCTTTACACACAGTTTCATAGTCGGACTCATTAATGCTTCCTCCCAATATCTTGACAGTTTCGACTGCTCATCTTCAGTATTGGCAGTGGTCCGGGAATCAAACTTATTGATGCTCCCACAATTCGAAGATGGATATCGTCAGGATCTCTGTACTCGTGAGGTAGTCGTAAATAAACTTCATTCTTAATAGACACGAGACGATGCACTATTGTTGGAATAGATGTTTGTCGTTTCGCCTTCGTCGGCGGAGAACACTGAAATGTTATGGTAAAGTATTAGCTTTATCAACAACATTATTTTCGAATTTCAGTTTGTTTAACTGATTCAGAAGTTGTGGGACTCAATCATTTCTCTGAGTTCATCTCATTGCAACCTTTTGGAACTATTTTGCGAATCCAGGACCTGTTTTTTCTTCAATGATAATGCGGTCTTGCTTATCAGAGCTTTGTATGTGTCCTAAACCTCACGAAAACTGGTTCTCAACTACTCATAGAATGCAAAATAAGCATTTGTAGTAGATTATATAAGTGGTTACATAAAAGTGAGTATGAAGAGAATTTTCACAATTGTTTGATCACTGGGTGGTGATCAATGCCATGTGTGTCCAGTCCTTATTTACTTACTAAACCTCCCGCGTTCACCATCGTTGACCTTCTCTCAGCAATTATATGCTTAGCTCCAAAGATCTTGTGGTTAGGAACGAATACCACTACAAGTCTGAGTGTCTTGACGAAAATACATAAATTTATTTAATAAGATATAAAGTACGACTTGACATTAGAATAAGATTTTGCGTAGTAACAGCTATGAATAATCCAATTAAGCCCTTTATTAAGAGTAGAATAAAGGCAGTATTTAAGAGTCATTATATTTAAACAATGAAAATAAAAATGAGTCTGAAAATCCAATTTGTATAAATAGGTGAAATAAAAAGCTTGAAATCCCTTATTTAGAAATACTGAAAGATTAAGTATGAAAATATGTAGAAATATAAAAGATGTACGACGAGACCAATCATGATAGTACCAATGATGATTATGCGAACGCAAGCGGAATTCGGATACTGGGTTGTAAAATCTAGATGCTCCATTTTGATCTACAGTCAGTCAAATAGGTACGGGACCTTGTAAAGATTATTAAAATTCAATGAGACTCAGAAGAACCAGTGAGTGACACACACTTTCCAAAGTCTTATTAATTTGACTGTCAGCCTCTATTTAGTTTCTTAGGCCAAGCAGATGATCTTTTAATCCTCCCATGAGCAAATTGTACAAGTGGTTATGCAGATAATAGAAAAAGCTTTCATTTGACAAACTTCCTCACCGAGTATCAGTGTATAGCCTATGCCTTCAGGTAGGAACCTAGGAAGTTTCAACATATTGAGGAGAGTATTATGGCAAAACACTTTACCGAGTCCTTAAAACTCTGACAAGTTTCTTCACGAAGAACTCCTGGGAAGTCACTCGAACCGTTTCAACCTTCGGGAAATTGCAGAATATGATTATTCGTATAGCGTAGTCCTTTTTAACTGTTATATGCCCTTAAGGTTACCGTTGGAACTGAACTTAAGTAAGTGGTCGAGGGGGTGCTCAGGAATGCTTCCATGCTCTAAGTGGAACCGAACAAAACTACTGAAGATTGAATGTGAAATTTTGTTATCAAGTTGGTCAAAACGTCTCTTCAACGTTACTATTACGAGGTTTTCCCGGGAGTATTTTTTGTCGCATTCATTATAAGAGTTTGGAATATAGAATGCAAAAACTGCTAAATCTTTTTCTACTCTATAAACCTCCAGATAATAGTTACCTGAGTTGTTCGCGTAATCCGCAACATGTCTCAGATGGACCACTTTACACTTTGAAGTGTAGAAAAAAAGCCAACTGTCATCCGCTGAACTCTGAAATCGAGTCATATCCTGTTGGACTGCTGGCTCATGATCCTCGTTGTAAACTCCTCGTCACAGTGTCGCATCGTCATCTATACGCAATAGCTCAGGTGATGCCTGCGAAGTAACGTCATTTAGGTTAAAAAAT